GACGTCAGAAGGCGAGCGCTGATCTCCACCGCAGTGAGGCACCGGTGTACGCACCTGGTGATCGAGTCTGGCTCTCTACCAGAAACCTGCCCCTCCGCCTGCCCTGTCGGAAACTGGGTCGGCGGTTTGTAGGGCCATTTAAAGTCCTGAGGAGGTTGAACGAGGTTTGTTATAGATTACAGCTTCCTGTGGAGTATAAGTGTATTAACCCCTCGTTCCATGTGTCCCTTCTCAGGCCGGTGGTAGCGGGCCCACTCCAAGAAGATGAGATCTTGGAGACTCCTCCGCCCCCGTTGGACATCGAGGGGGCACCGGCGTACTCCGTGAGATCCATCTTGGATTCGAGACGTCGGATGGGGGGTCTCCAGTATCTAGTGGAGTGGGAGGGGTACGGTCCGGAGGAGCGGTGCTGGGTGCCGAGGAGAGACGTGTTGGACCCGTCGCTCCTGACGGAGTTCCATCGGAGGCATCCGACGCGCCCTGCGCCGCGTCCCCCTGGCCGTCCCCGAGGCCGGAGTCGGCGCGCGTCTGGAGCCGCGCGTCAAGGGGGGGGTACTGTCACGGTTTCGGCCGAGGCTGCCTCTCCTCCTTGTTCGGGCAGGCTTCGGCGCTCGTCGTCTCCGGAATTCTAGCTGCCACCGATAGATGTTTCATGTTCGTTTGCTTTTGTCTGTTTGTGTCACACCTGTTTCTGTTTTACGTAATTAGTGTCCTATAAGTTTCTCGTTGTGTTTGTCATGTGTTGTGTATGATTGTTTTTCGTCAGTGTTGTGTTTTGCTCGGTTGAGCATATTTTCTCCACTGCGCTGGAGCACAGTTGCACTTGTTCGTGCACCACTTCGTTTGTCGCACCTGTTTGTGCGCATTTGCCTTTTCGCCTTGTGCGTAGTTTAGCTGTTGGGCTTAGTTGTCCTGTTGCCTGTGTTGGGCCAGAAATACAGCATTTGGAACCTACCGTCGGCGTCCTGCATTTGATTTCCTACACTACACCTACACACGCCCTGACAATATACTGTACCACAGAATACTGTAAGTAAATATATGTTTCAGTACATCACTGTACCAATGTACTGTAGTTGTCACGATCGTCGTATACAGAGGACCAATGCGCAGCGTTATTTGCGAACATGCTTTTATTATTGATACACGAACAAAATAACAAAAACGATATGTGACGTCCAAAGGTGCAAAACACAAACCTACAACAGGAACAAGATCCCACAAATACTGTGGAAAAACAGACTGTTTAAATATGGTTCCCAATCAGAGACAACCAGCAACAGCTGACACTCGTTGCCTCTGATTGAGAACCACTCTGGCCAACATAGAAACACAATAACTAGAACACCCTAGAAACACAAAACTAGAACAACACAAAGAACACTCACACCCTGGCTCAACATACAAGCGTCCCCAGAGCCAGGGCGTGACAGTAGTATTGTAATGGAGGGTTGGTCTAACTGTTTGTAGGCCTAGTATTCCATGTATATTTTTTGTAACTCCATGTTCTCTTTTTGTAGAATTGAAAGACTGCCACATGGGGGTGGGAGGACAGGTATGTTCTCCCCACACCAAGAGACCCTAATTGTTGATATGGTCCGTGAGAACAATGCCAGTAAACTGAGCGAAATTCAGCAGAAGATCATTGAGGACCATTTAAATTTTGAGGGTATCAACAGTGTCAGCCTCTCTACTGTTGATCGTGTCCTCAAGCGCAACAGACTGCGCATGAAACAGCTATACAGAGTGCCCTTTGATCGCAACTCAGACAGAGTCAAAGAGCAAAGATTCCAGTATGTACAGGTTGGCATATATCCAGACACATTCAATGTTGATTACTCTAAGTAGTGATTTACTGTAGTGGCCTAAATCACTTTTCCGTATCACTTACAAAACTATATCTATTTCTACAGAGGGTTTTTCAACTGGATGCAATGGAAAGACCCCATCAATACATCTACATGGATGAAGCTGGGTTTAATCTCACCAAAAGGAGAAGGAGAGGCCGTAATGTGATTGGCCATCGGGCCATTGTTGGTGTTCCTGGGCAGCGTGGTGGCAATGTCACATTATGTGCTGCCATCAGCAATCATGGGGTTGTCCACCATCATGCCAACCTGGGGCCCTACAACACTCACCAGCTCCTCATTTTCCTCAATCACATGCGAGATGCTTTGTTAGGGCAGCAGGATGAGCATCCCATCTATGTTGTTGTTTGGGACAATGTGAGTTTTCACAGAGCCCTCCAGGTTAGAGAGTGGTACAATATGAACCAAGGTTTTATCAATCTTTGCCTTCCACCGTACTCCCCTTTCCTAAACCCCATTGAGGAATTATTCTCCTCATGGCGGTGGAAGGTATATGAACGCCAACCTTACACCAGGGTAAATCTCCTGCAAGCCATGGGACTTGCCTGTGGTGACATAGGTGTGGAGGCATGCCAAGCCTCGATACGGCATGCCAGGGGTTTTTTCCCCCGTTGCCTGGCCAGACAAAATGTGGCCTGTGATGTGGATGAAGTCCTGTGGCCTGACCCAGTACGGAGACATGATGCTGTGGCTGAGTAATGCACTTATTTGTATATTTTTGTACTTTATTTTTACATGGGCTTACTGTACACAAGTGGCAAACGCATAAGATTTCTGTTTGTTTTTACAAGTGCTACATGTAAATGCACAAGATTTCTGTTTTGTCTTTTTGTACAAGTGCTAAATGCACAGGTTTTTTTTGTTTTGCAACATGCATTTAGCCTACAGTGAACAATAAACATTTATTTCTCCAGCTTCATGTCCTGAGCATTGTGTTTTCTATTTTTCTACGTAGTGTTTAGTGACTGTTCAGTAGTGTTTTTAATTTTGATTGACTCGGGGCACGATTTGACAACATAGTTCAGTTTTGAGCACAGATTGAACTGTTTTGAGGTGAAAGTTTGGTTTTGCAAGAAGAGTCTGAGGTTTTGTGAATGTAGCTTGAAAATTGGGTTTTGTGTTCACAGTTAAGAGAAAAGGAGAGCAGCTTTCAAGAAATGTGTCTTAGCAATCGAGAAAAACTGTATATCAAAGGATTTCAGCGTCAATTTACAGACATCTGCAGACATCTGGAGAATACCCGGCCCCAATCTCTAATATGTTATTCTCCCCTCCTTTGTCCCAAACCATAGTATATATATCCTATGTAACCAGATATGGGTGTTTTCCCCTACAGACCAATCCCAGGACTCCACCTAACAGACTTCCTCTGTTTTAGGGTGCCCCTATAGAAATACTCTCCAGATGCTTTCTCAAGCTGAGTCAACATCCTCTAAGACCATTTACAACCGTCAGCAAAGTCATAAATTGTTCAGACACTACAATATACGTGCTTGTTTTGGGCTTCGTCCCCGTCGTTTTTCATGACGTACCTTGTGTTGGGTGGAGTAATAAAAAACCCTAATACGTCTTCTAATCATTATACAACGTGACAATTACTATAGTATTCTACAGTATACCACAACATTCTATAGTAAGTACTTCACATGATCGAGAGATACTACAGCGTGTAGTATAGTATTCTACAGTATACTACAGTTTACTATAGAATTCTATAGTAAATACTGTAGTATTCTATTGTAAACTGTAGTTTATTTTTTTCATGTGGGCACTCAGCCTAAATAACTTCCACCTCCCTCCCTACAGTCTTAACTCCAACTCCCCTCTGATTGACGAGAGAGAGAGAGAGAGAGAGAGAGAGAGAGAGAGAGAGAGAGAGAGAGAGAGAGAGAGAGAGAGACTAATTTGCTAACACTCACCTTGGGGCAAGAGCACATCAACAAGCCATTCTGCATGATCTCTGTAAAGGTCACACAAATATATCAATCATAAATCAAATTATAGTTAGCTGAGACTACTTCAGAGTTATAAATACACTTACAGCAGATACACAAACATATACAGTAGTCTGCATGACTGTTTCATTATATATTGTGAGTCTTTAGTGAGGATCAAGGAAGAGACATTGTACCCTATTGAGCAAGACATAGCCATTGGTTACAGTATGCCACAAGTCAGAGGAAATGAGAGCAAGTTGTTTAGTGATGGCAATCTCATTATCTGCTCAAGGGAATTATGTAACCATGGTGATGCCTCTCCCTCGGGATAAAGACCAGAATAATGAAGCAGACAGCAGGTGATGTATGTTTGGAATGGCATCTTGGTGGAGATTAAGGTTTTACAATAACATACCCTGATATCCTTTGGCTGCACTCCTCACAGATGTATAGAGGAGGGGGCTTGTCTCCCAGGGCAACGGAGAGGGTGGGGTCGATGCACATCTTTAGGCCGACAACAGACAGTTACAGGATCCAGATGGAATATACAGTACAATAATAGCAGTGATATCTGATTGTAGGGGTCCTAAGAAGTGCATACCACACCCTATTTCTCCAACGCTTGTGCCCTGACACGTGATAACACCTCAAACACAAATAAGTCTACCTGTCTCTGCTTGCCTTTAGTCTGTGATTGGCTGCATGCATATGTCTCTGTTCTGTTATCTATGATCTGTGCATGGCCCTGTATTAGGCCACAGTGCTTATGGCCTAGATGCTCAGATGGTGTTCTGTAATTTACTGCTTTCGTTTACAGGCGCACTATCCTCAGGGGCAGCATGGGGTCATGGCTTCCAATTAGCCCCCCCCCCTCCCCCCCTCCCCCACACACACCCCCTCTGTGCTCCTAGGTAATTGAAATCTTGCCCCTGTCCCTACTCCTGTTCCTATCTCTGCTCAACTTGTCTGTTTTGAGCATAGTTTAGCAGAGACAGGCAGAGTAGCGCAAACAGGCCTCAAGTTGCGTGGCCAGTGATATCATTACACCACAGAACTACAAAAGTCACTCAAGCATTCCCTGGTTCCTTTAATGTTGTGCTTACAGCAGCAAACACAAAGACACTTTAACACACCATGGCAATCTGGCACATACTTTATGTATTCACTTTATGTTTGTGTACACAGTGCACAGTAGTTACTCAGATATTACCTTGACGGCAGGTTTATTGATGGCATTGTGACACTCAATGTGTTGGCAGTGGATGGGGTTCCAGGCTGGGGAAAATAGAATAGAGGGAAAAAAGGAGAGGGGAGAGATGGAGAGGTGGGAGGAGGATTAGACTGCTGTAATCTAAAGGTTTGTTGCACACAAGACCAGCCTGACAGGTAGACCATAAGCCCCTCACCAGTGTACTGCAGTCCTCTGTATTCACTGATGGCTCCTGGGGGCTTTAGGTTAGGCCAGTAATGAAAGAGCATCTGCACAGCTGGAGGCTTCACTTGGGATGGTCCGTAGGATATGACATACAGTAGGTCCTGACACAACACAACACACGCCATAGTGAACTAAACTGTAAGAACCTCTCAAAGCTATTCACTGACACTTTCCATATCTACAAGAGAGTTGTTTGGACATCTAACCTATGTGAAAATGGCACGTGCATTTCACGAACATATACCTTCCACACTTCCTGCTTGTGCTTCATAAGACACTCCAACAACTGACAGTGGTATACTGGAAACAAAGAGGTAGAGGCTAAAGTCAGGCAGGCGGCAGGTACAACATAGTGTACAGTTCATTAATCAAAAGACAGGCTGTGCTACACTGGACAGAGACACTGTGATGTACTGTATTGGTTGGAGATAACGTGAGTTAAAGGATTACCTGGGTTGGAGGTGTACTGCATAGCAATCATTAGCATAGAGGACGCAGAGAGATTGACATATGCTGGGACACCCCCTTCTCTTCTAGTGGAACCCACTAAAGAAGGGCACAAAAGACAAATGAAGAACCTTAACCTCATGAAGGATTGCATACTGTGGGACACCAACCGAGCAGTTTCTTTGATATGGTAATGACTGCTGATATTGAATGAGACTTATCCCACTTAATGACTTGTTAACTTTGTGTTGAATTGAAAAGGTGTTCTTTTTCACATGCAAGTAGATAGATGTTAGATACAGAGTGGCTGTACTCACATACAGCCATGGGGAGGAAAGAGGTGCTCAGGTACTCAATGATGTCTTTGTGCAGGAATGGGGGGAATGTAGCTAAAGTGGAGATCATAGTGTAGGGTAAAGTGCTGAGAATATCGTCACTGAGAAAGGGCAGGAGGCAAGTTGTTGTGTAAAATATGGACTGTCCCAGATCTGATGGGAGAAGGGAGAGCCAAGACGCACAGACACAGAGAGAGAGACAGTAATTCAATGAAATGTACATATGTTGCAAACATATGTAAGTAAATAAAAATATACCATTAAAACCTAAAGAAAATACATAAATATACAATGTGTATAAATACAACAAAATCCTAAGAGAGTATTGTGAAACTCAGTTTAGGTCAGTGCGGTTTCAGTAAAACCCATTAATACTGCACTGATGTTTGCCCTCAGCAAAGGGTAGTGCTTTCTAGTCAAGAAGATGTACTTTCATGCTTATTCCATATATTCAGATATATTCACAGACTTGCTATTTACAGATTACGATTCCCTGGTGCAGTTAATAGATACACAACATATGCTAACCATAGCAATTTAACCTTTAAAATAGCTTTTTTACAGATACATTTCCATTTTCAATGCATTTTTTAAAAAGAGATTGCAAATAGTTAATACATGTGTACAATACTACAATATGTCTGTAAATTCCAGTAAGTTATCAACAAAGTTAGCTGACAGGATTCAGCATGTTCCCCATCACCCCATGCATCCCTTTAGATCTTCTGTGGGACTCGTCTCTTGAAGGGAATGAGGCCAGAAAAGGCAGCTTCATGTGGTCAAGACGGGTCGTGGGGCGACTGACACGTACAAAGGTGTGTCCTGGTTTCACTCACCATGCTGACCGTGCTGCAGCAGGGGCACCAGGTCAAGCAGGGTCACGAGGGTCGCATAGAGCCCCTGATAGTCCAGAGAGGGGTACTCTGAGAGCTGAGCGTCCCGACTCTGCTGCCCCTGCCCCCCACGGTCTGACGGGGCATCACGCAGAACGCTGTAAAGGAGGGAGCGAGTAACTGTAGGGTTGATGGAACTGACTTGTGGTCTTAGAGATGGGGTGAGTGGGAATGGCACAGGAAAAAGACACATGGTCATGGGCACGGCCAAATTGGAAGCTTCCTGGTTCTCCTTCCTGCCTGTGCGGGACAGAATGCTGCTCCGGGGGTGAGGGGGGAGAGGGGAGGGGGAACAAGGGAAAAAAAGAGACAACAAAGACACAAAGAAACAGCACATTACATTGAAATGGCACTACAGAGACAGGGTAAATAGAAGAAAACAAACCCAGATAGACCCCACATAGGATGCAGTGTCTCTAATATTTCACTGAAGGCATGGGGAATTGTTCCCTGCTTTATCCGTTCAGTGTGACATACAATGACTTTAATTTTCTATTTCACTTTTTGTACATCTTTGTCTTCTGAAAACAAAAAAACATGAACAGAAACGTTTGCAAAAACTTCAATGATCACTGCATCTCATGCGTATCTGGTGACAAGGAGAAAAAATAAAAATAATTGCATGTTTTCAGTGGCAACCCCATACTTCTCCAAAGGGGAAACTGCAAATGATTTTCCCTCTATGGCTGCCACATTCCAAAAAGATAAATTCAGCAGCAGTCATACCGAGAGGCCAATGGGCCATGATGTTTCTCAGGGATAAATATCCTGTTTTGTAGGGCTGTCGTCAAGGATGGGAGTGACACCAAATCGGTTAGGGAAAATACAGAGGTGACACTTTTGAAACATGCTTCAGCTAGTAATAAACATGTGTGTGAGGTTAGATAAGAATTCCTAGGTCACAGCACATGTTTATTGCACCAGAGACAAAATGTCCGTATGTATACATTATGATACTGTATCAGTATCATCAGGAGAAATAATGAGATCCAACAGGCATATGGATTCAAGTCTCTAAAATAAATGTAAGAACTAATCTACGGTAGGGGAGAAACTATAATGACAAAGGAATAGGTTGTTTCAAACGGGATGACCGGTAGCATTATGTTTGTGAGCTAATGGGGGATGGACGTTTGTGTTTGCTGTCCCCTGGGAAGGTGGATATCTCACCATTTAGAGAGAAGGGAGAACTAGTTGGTTGGTTTGTGTGTGTGGATTCTAGGGGTGGGGAGGGGAAGGGGGGTGGGGGTGGGGGGTGGGGGGAGACAGCGAGCCTTGCTCTTTTACTAAAGATGATCTAAAAGCACTAAGCTGTGCTATCAGTAAAATGACTTGGAGCATGAGAGCCCAGATTACAAATTCTGATGTATTGTTTTTGAAAGGTCATTCATAGAGGCAGAGGTATATAATTTCTACAGGGGCAGTGAATAAGAGGATTTTAGTGTAGCAATACAGAATAGCCTACTATTATGACGTTTTACAAGATCAAAATCATTTAAAACTTTTCTTACTCTGACTATTCCCCTTAAAGTTATACTCCGTAAGAATTTGGCCGCATGTTGGACAATTTTAAATATCAGAAACCAAAGTGTAAAAAACATTCTCTCAGGGAGTTGAAACGGATAGTCAGTTTACAACAATGGGGGGGATTAGCTTTATATCTTGCGGAGTATGACTTAATATCACTGCCCTCGTTGCACATATTAAACTGCAGAATTGAATTGAACACACACACACACAGACGCACAGAGACACACAGAGACACACAGACAAATAAACACACATACGTTATGCACACACAGTAAAACACATCTTAGATCAGATTAAACAACCTACACTTTCGCTATCTTCTAAATGTTTTCACTAACTGAGCCACAGATTATAAATTACATTACCGTAAATAAGCATTAACTAGGGTATATAATACCGTAATAACCACTGTTTCTTAGCTAGAAGTGAGATATTTAATTTCCTTTGAGTGTGACTTGTTCATGCCAGGCAAGGTTCAAGAGGAACTAGGAATGAAGTACATCACATTATACTACGATACATGAAATTATCTTGATTCAGTGTCAGACTGCATCTTGGTTCCTCACAGTCACTCTAATGAGTGATGGAATTTGGCATGGGGTCAGGGCAACTGTGAATCCATGGTTCACTGATGCAGAGAGCTAGACAGCTTGGCTGGTATGTGTTACTTTCTAGATGACTGGCTGGGAGGCAAAGCTGGCAACTACATAATACTTTACTAATACAGTGGGGAAAAAAAGTATTTAGTCAGCCACCAATTGTGCAAGTTCTCCCACTTAAAAAGATGAGAGAGGCCTGTAATTTTCATCATAGGTACACGTCAACTATGACAGACAAATTGAGAAAAAAAATTCCAGAAAATCACATTGTAGGATTTTTAATGAATTTATTTGCAAATTATGGTGGAAAATAAGTATTTGGTCACCTACAAACAAGCAAGATTTCTGGCTCTCACAGACCTGTAACTTCTTCTTTAAGAGGCTCATCTGTCCTCCACTCGTTACCTGTATTAATGGCACCTGTTTGAACTTGTTATCAGTATAAAAGACACCTGTCCACAACCTCAAACAGTCACACTCCAAACTCCACTATGGCCAAGACCAAAGAGCTGTCAAAGGACACCAGAAACAAAATTGTAGACCTGCACCAGGCTGGGAAGACTGAATCTGCAATAGGTAAGCAGCTTGGTTTTAAGAAATCAACTGTGGGAGCAATTATTAGGAAATGGAAGACATACAAGACCACTGATAATCTCCCTCGATCTGGGGCTCCACGCAACATCTTACCCCGTGGGGTCAAAATGATCACAAGAACGGTGAGCAAAAATCCCAGAACCACACGTGGGGACCTAGTGAATGACCTACAGAGAGCTGGGACCAAAGTAACAAAGCCTACCATCAGTAACACACTACGCCGCCAGGGACTCAAATCCTGCAGTGCCAGATGTGTCCCCCTGCTTAAGCCAGTACATGTCCAGGCCCGTCTGAAGTTTGCTAGAGTGCATTTGGATGATCCAGAAGAGGATTGGGAGAATGTCATATGGTCAGATGAAACCAAAATAGAACTTTTTGGTCAAAACTCAAAGAATGCTGAGTTGCATCCAAAGAACACCATACCTACTGTGAAGCATGGGGGTGGAAACATCATGCTTTGGGGCTGTTTTTCTGCAAAGGGACCAGGACGACTGATCCATGTAAAGGAAAGAATGAATGGGGCCATGTATCGTGAGATTTTGAGTGAAAACCTCCTTCCATCAGCAAGGGCATTGAAGATGAAAGGTGGCTGGGTCTTTCAGCATGACAATGATCCCAAACACACCGCCCGGGCAACGAAGGAGTGGCTTCGTAAGAAGCATTTCAAGGTCCTGGAGTGGCCTAGCCAGTCTCCAGATCTCAACCCCATAGAAAATCTTTGGAGGGAGTTGAAAGTCCGTGTTGCCCAGCGACAGCCCCAAAACATCACTGCTCTAGAGGAGATCTGCATGGAGGAATGGGCCAAAAAACCAGCAACAGTGTGTGAAAACCTTGTGAAGACTTACAGAAAACGTTTGACCTGTGTCATTGCCAACAAAGGGTATATTACAAAGTATTGAGAAACTTTTGTTATTGACCAAATACTTATTTTCCACCATCATTTGCAAATAAATTCATTAAAAATCCTACAATGTGATTTTCTGGATTTTTTTTTCTAATTTTGTCTGTCATAGTTGACGTGTACCTATGATGAAAATTACAGGCCTCTCTCATCTTTTTAAGTGGGAGAACTTGCACAATTGGTGGCTGACTAAATACTTTTCCCCCCCACTGTATATGACATGTTACATAGCACCCCCTTTGGGTAAGCCCCCTTAAATTGAGCCCAGGTAGCCCCATCCCTTTACACCAATATCGTAATAGTCTTACACTGATAGCGCTCTATGCTGCAGAATTAATTAAATATTAATTTGGCGCTCCATCCTCTGTCTGTGCGGGACTCTTTTTTTTCCAGGAACCTGACATATGCAAGTCTCAGTGCGCCCTCTCTTTAGCTCACACTCTCTCTCTCCCTCTGTTCACCCCAGGCCAATGAAACACAGGTGCCTGTCTGAATGTCTGAGAGTCTACTGAGCAGTGCAGAGTGGTTTCAATATGGGAGGCATGGTTTGTTGTGTGAGTTGGGAGGGAGGAGATTTGGCTCAAGGAAAACATGAGGCGAATGTTACAGTATCATACCCGCGTGATTCCCTTCACACCCCAGCGATACTGAGCCTCACAGACACAATTGTCATTAGCGTTAACATGCCACCACAACATAGGCTTATACAATCACAGCCCCTGTCACGCTCCATCTGTGCCAAGGACCAATAGGATGCCAGGCTTGTAACAATACACTAGCTACCACATCTAGCTAGATCATTCTCTCAACAAAGTCAGAAAGATCCAAGATACTTTGCCAATATTGACTTGAAAATTATCGTAATTTAGCCACAAAAATTTTTTTCACTACTATGTCCACCGTGTGATGAAATGAAAATGATCGTCATAATCCAATAATTTTCATAAAAGTGGAACATGAAAGTTCTGTCTCCCTAATGATGATGATTTATGTAGCCAATGATCAAAGCACAGCTGATTCTCACAGAGAGCTCTGCTCAAACTCAACAAATAAATGTCACATACTGGTTGTGGCCATAATGGCTGCCCTGGCTTCTTGACCTGTTCTGAGGGGACGTGTTGTTCCCTCCACAGGCCTTCTGTCACAGCACACTGGGAACTGTCAGACCCAAGGAGCCAGAGGACCAGACCTCCCCTAGCCCCTCTGGGAGTGAGACTACAGGCCATCCCAGGGACATGTGCATCTACAAAGCTACCACTGAACCTACAGAGGGGTTGAAATTGCCTATTTCTTTTTGGTACTTTTTCTCCAATATAATACCAACCATACCAGGTACACTCTGCAAAATAACATTGTTATTCACATTATTATTCATAACCTCCTACTTACAACATCAACACAATTCAAATCCCTTTGAGGCACACCCACATTGGAAAGACTCAGTAATGGCAATCTTGGCAGATTTGATTTATTGGTTGGAGCCCAACAAACCTTCTCTATTTTATTTCAAAATAGGGTACTACAATATCAAACAGCCATGGAGCGATACGAGTTGATCGTATTGTTGACTCTTGTTGTTGATATCCTGTAGGATCATGGTCCTCGTATAGCAACTTGAAACATATGGTGTCACAAAGGCAGAGGATGGAGCAACCCAATTCCCTCTCTAAAAAGGACCTGGGTGGTTATCAACTAGGAATCTTAAATGATGATACACTTGCACTGTTGGAAACCATTTCCCATATTTCCACTTCTATCTTCTAATTTCAACTGACTTCCTACCAGCAATAATGCTGTCATATTGCTGTGCATGTATTAGAATTAGGCTACACCCCAGTCACCTCTCCTCTGAAACTAAACATCAAATACTGTTATACTCTGTTACTTCACCTGTGGTTCCAGCGCAGGGTACTTACCTGAGCAGGGTTTGGGAAAAGTATTTCAGTGTGTTTGCAATGTCTGTTCCGGAGGGCACGGGGTAAATATTGTGTTGCACACGGTTGTGATACTCTTGCAAGTATCGTATCTTAGAGGCAACTAAACAAAATAAAGAGCAGAGTGACAAACAAAAGAAGTCTATTGAAGCCTTTATCAAATCAGGGGGGTGGGGGCAATGGGCTATGGTTGGTACAGTATAAGCCTGGTCATTGATATGCTGCCCCAAGCATAGCAAAGGGTCAGGGTCCCTGTGGCATCTTCACTGTCTCTCTTTAAGTGACCTTTGTGTTTGGCCAGCTAGGTCACAACCAGCCCTGGAGTGGGTCATTTTGGTGCCATCCATTTTGTGACTCGTGCTGGTAGTGTTTAGTGCTCGCTGAACTGCAAATGACAAGTCCCAAAAATAACAATAACACCCACAGGCTTTGTGTTTGTGTGGGGCAGGGTGTGTGTGTGTAAGTAAATTAGTGTGTGTAGGCTTTATACGTGGGTGTAGAAGTGTGTTCATTTTTTGCTCATTTCATACCAATGAATACATGGCCAATATGAGTCGGCTACAACACAGTGGTTCTGTAAATAGAATCAGCAGGGCTTCCTTCAGACACACTTTGCAAAAGCAGAAATGTAAGCAAAAGTGTTACCTCGTCCACAGGCTCAATTGCTAGAGCCAACTGGGTGGATAAGCTTAGTAAAGGCCCAAAAAACTATTGTTTTTTCCTGCCAAAACAAAATATGAACGCTTGTTTTTAAGGGCTAAAACTTGTGATACTTGTGCAAACTAATGTCTGACCAATTCAGTAATGTCAATGTAGCCTACCGAATGCAGGAGAAACAACACAAATCGTCAAAGCTACCTAGTGGGTGTTTATACATGGTACCATAAGGTAGCATGTAGTACATTCTATGTTGCCCCAAACATGGCCAAATAGATTTAAAGTCGTTTAAGACGGCTTTATCACAGATAAATGTAGATATAGGAACTTTGTTCCTTCCATTTATTATTATAGGCCTATTCAAAACACATATGCCTATTTGAGAAATGTTGAGTTCTTTCAAGGTGTGTTGATTGACAACAACAAAAAAACACATTACATTACATTTTAGTCATTTAGCAGACGCTCTTATCCAGAGCGACTTACAGTTAGTTTATTTTTCATACTGGCCCCCCTTGGGAATCGAACCCACAACCCTGGCGTTGCAAACACCATGCTCTACCAACTGAGCTACATCCCTGCCGGCCATTCCCTCCCCTACCCTGGACGACGCTGGACCAATAAACACCAATTGTTTATTACACTATGCATTGATTCACTCTCCATTTCTAGAGTAAATAATCTGATAGTTTATCAAATAGTGTAACTGCAGTCTGTTTATCCACCTGTTCAGAGGCAAATGATGAAGAAAAAACTCGTATTTTATTATGCAAGTAAAAGATGTGATGTAAACAAGCAAATCAACCACATTATTGATCACCAATGCCACCATATTGTTTAGTGGAGAATTTGTCAAATCGACCTTGAAACCAATACATCTCGCTGCTGCACCAACCTTTCTTTCAGCGTGTCAATCAAAGATGAATGCTTAATATCTGTTAGTATGTTTTCCCCATGTATTTTTGTTGACCACCGCCAGAACATAGCGCATCCCCTAGACACCAGCCCCTAGAGCCATCCTCTGCAACGCGAGGACGTGTTGCAACCTGCCTTAGCAACCGCGGTTTCATCACCAAGGACAGCTCCCCTCATTCGCTTTCTTACTATAAAATTACACCTAAAAATGGGAGGATCTAATAGGAAAATCTTAAATAATAGTACTTACATTGCTCTGCTTTCGTAGACATTGTGGAAATACTTCACGAATCATAAAACAAACACTGTCAATTGTCAAATGTTTTTTCTCCCCTACGGTGTTGTCTTGAGAAAAGTGAATAAACCCCCTCGCGCACAGGCTCGCTTTGGTTGTACCACTGCTGCCATGAAAGCAGGTTAACAGCAATTGAAATCTATTGCATTGGGCTTGTAAGTTATTTAAATGCATGTGGTGTGTTTCGTGTATATGTTATATATGTCATTGTATATGTATATGTCAATGTGCTGATAGAAAAAGCCGGACCCAAATCAGCACATACTCTTCCAAATGGACTGGTCCGACTATGACAAATTGTCATTCAAAAAAGTGATTTTTAACACCCGCCTCAACATGAGGCTGCTAATGCTCTTTTCACAATTCAGCATCAGCTGAGATTCAAAGTGAGAAGTTCGAACGTCGTGGCATACTTACTCCTCTTAGGCTATATATCACTATTTTATATAGGCTAATTTATAATCACTATTTTATATAGACTAATTTATAATCAAGCAACAGATGGTTAACGTATAAAGTATCAGGGGTCGCATTTTTAAACAATGTATTGTGACAGTATGCACAAAAACCATATACTATCAAACTACTGTACTTATTTGTGGTAAACATAGGCCATTTGATCCACATTAGTTAGTGGTGAGAAGGAATTGCTCTTATATTCTTGCTTTTCCAAGTCTTTCCATCATCACTGGGGGGTTATGGCAACTGACTATTTATATCATGAATGGTTTTCTTTTCTTTACAGAAAGTAATTGGAATTCTTCCCAGCTCACCCCAGCTAAAACAAGATAAACAAGATGTTCCAAAGATAAACAAGATTTTCAGTTCTGAGGCTAAGAGAATGGATCTCAGTGTGTGCCAAGAACCAAGACTAAAGTATTCCCATTCCCATCTCCAGCTGATAAAGTAACAACATCCTGTCTCTGGAGCCTGGTCCTGGGCTGACCCACTGGCTCCTGGTACTCCTTGTCCACTAGAAGACATGTCAAAAATCACGTATTTAACTGAAGTCACATACAGATTGGAATTGTTGAGCTGAAAACTGAGTGTGACGTGGGCCAGCCTGCTGAAACAATGTTTCATGTCTGCAATAAAGACAAACAACAATGCAACAGTGTGCCAACTTTGTCTTTATTGATCTGAGTCAGATAGGATGGCACTTACTGCAAAGGTATGATTACAAATAGAAGCAGTGCTAATTTAATGGCCCAATCCATAATGCATTCACATTTCATGATCCCACCTCTTTAGAAAATAAATAAATGGCAAATATTAAACATTATACCATCCACCTGGTAAATTATTGTGGTTTAATTTATCTGTTTATATATTCATTCATCTTATACATTATTAAGATAAGATACATTTAGGCAACGTTTTTGTCTTTCACTGATGTTTCACTGATGTCATACTATGCATGGTGGTGGAGCACAGTCAGGGTTCTGGAGGGGGTCTTTGGCGGTAAACTGGTATACAGTGCATGATCCATCCAGCCGGGGCCAGGAGAGCGAACGCAAACACTGAAATTGTGAAGAGAGATTGCTGTGAGGGAAACAAGGAAACCACATACACATTTAGAATATAAAACATTGCTGTACAGAAATACTGAATCAAATGGCCAACAGGCAACAGCTGAATGTAACTCCTTGGTCACGTAATAACACTAATTACCTGGGTCAAGTTTTTATGCATTTGTGTAAAACCCATCTCTCTCTCCCCCTCTCTCTCTCTCTCTCTCTCATAGACACCAACTTTCTGTCTCTTCCTATTTATCAAGCCCTCTCTCCTTCATGCTGTATGTAGGTTTACAGCTGGGCCGACCAATTGACCTGCCCCCCAGAGGGTCATGATCCTTTGCTGTGATTATATTACATCATGGTCTCCCTAGCACAGTCTCCATCCCCCTGCCTCCACAGCATCCTCCCCTGGCACTGTTGGGCTTCATAGCTACACCCATAAATTATCAGTAAAAAACCCTGTGGATGTCCCTGAGGAAAGTTGAGTGGACGGCTGCACCGGCACTAGGTTCTGTCTCACAACTCTGTCATCAGATTTATTATCAGAGGAGAAAGCTTGGCACTACTAACTTAAATAAAAATAATTTAAAAATAAATAAATAAATATAACATATTTCTCTTTCAGCTGGAAAACCCCCTTCGCTTGAATTCACCACATTAGAGAATGGAATGGAATGTGTTAAAGATATGGCTGCCTCAGACTGTAACTTTGTTGTAGTGTTGTAGTTTCGTGTGATTTTAGGAGTTCAGTGGGCAGCAACTTCTCAGAATTTACTTTGTTTTAGTTCAATTGCTATGAGCTTTGCCTAGACCAGCCTGACCACTCAATTCTGACATTGAATGGTAATATAGGATACCATACACTTTCAAACATTTGCAGCCAACAAAAAAAAGAACGCAAAAGTTAAAGAAATTGGTAACATGGCCCTAACGAAACAATTGCCATATGGGACACTTCCAAAACAATATTTTTCTGATTGCAAAAAAGAAGTTGGACAGAGAGGAGCTTTGGTTCCTACCCCAGGCCCAATCTTGTCCTTGGGTGGCTTGCTGTAGATATTTGATCTGTAGTCCTGCAGAACCGCCTTTGTCCGTACAAGGAACCCAGTTGGTCCCCTAAAAAGAGCAAACATCGCTCTACTTAGTCCTGTGTGGCTAACGTCAGGTTCACAGCTTCTGGACAGCAGATCTGATCTCAGTAACACTGGAAAACTTCCCAGCAGCACATCCTGTGAGATAGAGACACTGGGCTTTCATCAAGCCTTCCCATTATTATCATCCAAAGGGAGGAGTCACTACAACAGGGCCCAGACTCCAAAACACACCATTGTCAAAGAACATACTATACATGCAATCATAGAGGCTGGACAAATGTATTGAGGACTGGTATGATAGAGTTTTATATGATTGGGTTTAATTGCAATCAAATTGTACAGAATAAATATATAGAAATGTTTCACCATAAAATTAATCCTACTTGCTTGACACCTTGTGTGATGCGTGATTTGAAGGAGTCAGGCGCAGGAGGGTAAATCACAGTATACAGAGTTTATTCCGTAATCCAGCGTAACCAGTCCAGTGAGCAAAACAGGCGCAGTGGAACAAACATGCACACGGGGAAAATACCCCGGCAATATAAACTACTGAGCTCAACCGAGCTACTAATCCTCACAATGAACATCACCCACAAGGACAAGGGGACAGAGGGAACACTTAAACACGTACTAATGAGGGGAATATGAACCAGGTGTGTGTAATTGACAAGACAAGACAAATGGAATGATGAGATATGGAGCGGCAGTGGCTAGAAGGCTGGTGACGATGAACGCCGAAGCCTGCCCGAACAAGGAGGGGAGGCAGCTTCGGAGGAAGTCGTGACAGTACCCCACCCTTGACGCGCAGCTCCAGCAGCGCGTTGACCCAGGCCTCGGGGACGGCCAGGAGGACGCGCGAGCCGTATGGCGACAGTGGAAATCCCGCAACAGGGAGAGATTGAGAATATCCCTCACCGGGACCCAGCACCGTTCCGCCGGACCGTACCCCTCCCACTCCACGAGGTACTGAGGCCCCCCACCCGAACTTCCGGCAGGGCAGGTGGAGGGGCAGATTCCGGGTCGAGAGCCAGACCCGATCACCCGGTAATTCGTACCGGGGCCTCACTGCGGTGGCGGTCAACGTTGGCCTTCTGACGACGCACGACGGGTTGGAGGTGGACGTGGGCAGCGTCCCACGTCTCCTCTGCGCGCCGAAACCAGTCATCCACCGCAGGAGCCTCGGTCTGGCTCTGGTGCCACGGTGCCAGAACCGGTTGGTAACCTAAAATACATTGAAATGGCGTTAGGTTAGTGGAGGAGTGACAAAGAGAGTTCTGGGCATATTCGGCCCATGGCAAGAACAACGACCACTCCCCCGGCCGGTCCTGGCAGTAGGACCGCAGGAACCTACCCACATCCTGATTTACCAGTTCCACCTGCCCATTAGACTCAGGGTGGAAACCAGAGGTCAGGCTGACCGAGACCCCCAGACGTTCCATGAACACCTTCCAGACCTTGGATGTGAATTGGGGACCCCGGTCAGACACTATATCCTCTGGTACCCCGTAGTGCCGGAAGATGTGTGTAAACAGGGCCTCCGCAGTTTGCAGGGCCGTGGGGAGACCGGGCAGAGGAAGAAGGTGGCAGGCCTTGGAAAAGCGGTCCACAATGACCAGGATGGTGGTGTTACCTTGGGAGAGGGGAAGATCGGTAAGGAAATCAACACTCAGGTGAGACCATGGTCGTTGTGGAACTGGTAAAGGTTGTAACTTACCCACTGGGAGGTGCCTAGGTGCCTTACTCTGGGCGCAAACCGAGCAGGAGGAGACATACACCCTCACGTCCTTAGCCAAGGTAGGCCACCAGTACTTTCCGGTCAGGCAGGGCACTGTATGACCGATACCTGGGTGACCAGAGGAGGGTGACGTGTGTGCCCAGTAGATCAGACGGTCACAGATAAGAGCAGGCACGTACTGCAGCCCAGCTGGACACTGAGGTGGAGATGGCTCTGTGTGTAACGCCTGCTCTATATCTGCGTCCATCACCCATACTACCGGCGCCACAATGCAGGAGGCCAGGAGTATGGGGGTGTTGTCTCTGGGACTCTCCACTGTGTCATACAGCCATGACAATGCGTCTGCCTTCACGTTCTTCGTACCTGGGATGTATGACAGTGTAAAATCAAACCGGGTGAAGAATAGGGCCCACCTGGCCTGGCGAGGATTCAGCCTCCTCGCTGCCCGGATGTACTTCAGGTTACGGTGGTCCGTCCAGACGAGGAAAGGGTGTTTCGCCCCTTCGAGCCAATGCCTCCACACGGTCAGGGCTCGGACAACAGCCAACAGCTCCCGATCACCAACGTCGTAGTTCTGCTCCGCCGGGCTGAGCTTCATAGAGAAGACGGCACAGGGGCGGAGCTTGGGTGGCGTGCCCGAGCGTTGAGATAGGACAGCGCCTATCCCTACCTAGGACGCATCCACCTCCACTACGAATGGTAGTGATGGATCGGGGTGGGTCAGTACCAGGGCTGAGGTGAACAGACCCCTCAAGTTACTGAAGGCCCTGTCAGCCTCAGCAGACCAGCGGAGCTGGGACAGCCCACCCTTCAACAGAGATGTAATGGGAGCTGCGACCTTGCCAAAGCCCCGGATAAACCTCCGATGGTAGTTGGCGAAGCCAATAAAGCGCGGCACCTCCTTAACCGTGGTTGGAGGCGGCCAATTACGAACGGCTGAAATGCGATCTCCCTCCATCTCCACACCTGAGGTGGTAATGCGGTATCCGAGGAAGGAGACGGACTTCTGGAAAAACAGACACTTTTCTGCCTTGGCATAAAGGTCATTTTCCAACAGTTGGGCCAGCACTTGCTCGGCGCATGCCGTGGACACATGCTCGGCGCGCGTAATGGAATACACCAGAATGTCATCGATGTAGACCACTACACCGAGACCAAGCATGTCCCGAAACACGTCGTTCACAAAGGACTGGAAGACGGATGGAGCATTCATCAAACCGTAGGGCATCACCAGGTTTTCATAATGCCCCGTGGTTGTGCTGAATGCTGTCTTCCACTCATCCCCCTCTTGGACACGCACCAGGTTGTACGCACTCCAGAGATCTAATTTGGTGAAGAAGCGCGCCCCATGCATTGACTCGATCACTGAAGGAATGAGGGGGAGAGGATAACAAAATCTTATCGTCTCCCTGTTCAGTGGTCGATAATCAATGCACGGGCGCAGACCTCTGTCCTTCTTCACAAAAAATAAACTTGAGGAGGCGGATGAAGTGGAGGGACGTATATATCCCTGGCACAGGGACTCTGCGACGTATGTTTCCATAGCCTCCGTTTCAGCCTGTGACAGGGGATACACATGACTCCTGGGAGGCACAGCGTCTACCCGGAGGTTTATCGCGCAATCCCCCGCCCGATGAGGTGGTAACTTGGTCGCCTGCGTTTTGGAAAACGTGTGCGCCAAATCGAGGTATTCGGGGGGAATGCGCACGGTGGAGGTACTGTCTGGACTTTCCACCGTGGTTGCACCAACGGAAACACAGAGACACCTACCTTGACACTCTCACAACCACCCCGTGAGAACCCTCTGCGGCCATGATAATGTGGGGTTATGGAGTGCTAACCAAGGGATACAGTGAGGGAAAAAAGTATTTGATCCCCTGCTGATTTTGTACGTTTGCCCACTGACAAAGAAATGATCAGTCTATAATTTTAATGGTAGGTTTATTTGAACAGTGAGAGACCGAATAACAACAACAAAATCCAGAAAAACGCATGTCAAAAATGTTATAAATTGATTTGCATTTTAATGAGGGAAATAATTATTTCACCCCCTCTCAATCAGAAAGGTTTCTGGCTCCCAGGAGTCTTTTATACAGGTAACGAGCTGAGATTAGGAGCACACTTAAAAGGGAGTGCTCTAATCTCAGCTTGTTACCTCTATAAAAGACACCTGTCCACAGAAGCAATCAATCAGATTCCAAACTCTCCACCATGGCCAAGACCAAAGAGCTCTCCAACGATGTCAGTGACAAGATTGTCGCCAAGCATCTTGGTGAGAAGGTGACAACAGTTGGTGCGATTATTTGCAAATGGAAGAAACACAAAATAACTGTCAATCTCCCTCGGCCTGGGGCTCCATGCAAGAGCTCCCCTCGTGGAGTTGCAATGATCATGAGAACGGTGAGGAATCTGCCCAGAACTACACAGGAGGATCTTGTCAATGATTTCAAGGCAGCTGGGACCATAGTCACCAAGAAAACAATTGGTAACACACTACGCCGTGAAGGACTGAAATCCTGCAGCGCCCTCAAGGTTCCCCTGCTCAAGAAAGCACATATGCAGGCCCGTCTGAAGTTTGCCAATGAACATCTGAAAGATTCAGAGGAGAACTGGGTGAAAGTGTTGTGGTCAGATGAGACCAAAATCGAGCTCTTTGGCGTCAACTCAACTCGCCGTGTTTGGAGGAGGAATGCTGCCTATGACCCCAAGAACACCATCCCCACCGTCAAACACGCAGGTGGAAACATTATGCTTTGGGGGTGTTTTTCTGCTATGGGGACAGGACAACTTCACCGCAACAAAGGGACGATGGACGGGGCCATGTACCGTCAAATCTTGGGTGAGAACCTCCTTCCCTCAGCCAGGGCATTGAACATGGGTCGTGGATGGGTATTCCAGCATGACAATGACCCAAAACACACGGCCAAGGCAACAAAGGAGTGGCTCAAGAAGAAGCACATTAAGGTCCTGGAGTGGCCTAGCCAGTCTCCAGACCTTAATCCCATAGAAAATCTGTGGAGGGAGCTGAAGGTTTGAGTTGCCAAACGTCAGCCTCGAAACCTTAATGACTTGGAGAAGATCTGCAAAGAGGAGTGGGACAAAAGCCCTCCTGAGATGTGTGCAAACCTGGTGGCCAACTACAAGAAACGTCTGACCTCTGTGATTGCCAACAAGGGTTTTGCCACCAAGTACTAAGTCATGTTTTGCAGAGGGGTCAAATACTTATTTCCCTCATTAAAATGCAAATAATTTATAACATTTTTGACATGCGGTTTTCTGGATTTGTT